TATATATATATATATAAAAAAGAAATATGGTGCATTCATTTCATAAAAATATTTGTATACGATTTCCACCATTTCTCAGAGGGTTTAACCTAATGTGAAATAATGCTTGTTAAGTGAAATCACTACAAGAGTGGTTAAAACTACATTATATTGGGAGACATGTCAGAAAAAGAAAGGCCAATAACATGACAGAAAAACAGTAGAGAATTGTCTTACAGCTCTATATCTGCCCACAGCTCCTCCAGTTTAGGGTCCATATGACCTGCCTGGATCAAATCCACCTCTTTCTTCAGTTTCCTGAAGGGAAAGAACACATTTATCACATATGTGTGACAGATACAGACAGGGAGAAGGAGAAGTAGGTGGAGATGTACCTGTATTTTTCCTGTGTGTCTTTGATCAGCCTCTTGAGTTCCTCGATCCTCTCTGATGTCAATCTACGCACAATCACGTCCTCAATGGTCTCGACCACCTCCCCTTTCTCACCCCGTTTACGTCTGCAGGGAGTGCACAAGTCAAACTTACCAGTGAGCTTGTGAACATACACTGAGATGGTTTAGGTTGCCATGATAACAATACTACAACATGCTAACTGGCTAAGATAATAGCCAGAATCTAATTACACAAACACTGTGCACAAATCATAAAATGCTTTTTTCACATATTTACTGCTTTACATGCACAAATATAAAGTACAACTCCTATGCAGATTATTATTTTTCATTGTCTACTCAGACCAGATTATTTGAGGATCGTAACATTTTTCTCTTTAGGGTTTTTGCAAGAACAATGGCAATATTTAATAAAGATGCTCAGCACAAATGTTTTAAGAACAAGAGAGAGAGAATTACTTACTTTGGGGCCTCTGTGGTTTCCAGCAGCTCAGAATATTGGGAGGCACAATGCTGCAGAGGTCATATTAACATGTTAAAACAAAAATCTATTAGCAAATCACTAATACTAATAAAATCACTCACAGTCACTCATTTAAATTACCTTCTGGGAGAACCAGTCTGGGGGTCGTCCAGGTTCTGAGAACGGCTTGATGGCTCTGCTTACAGACACCCTGACAAAAAATATAACAGTGTATCATACACATTTAACAGTAACCCTTTATAAATAATCACATACACTGAAGAGTAACACATTGAATTTAATGTCAAATTTTAAAGTCAAAAAACTGAAATAGTATTTTCTTGTAAAAATGTTCTCCAGGAATCTTTGTTCTTAGATTCAAACTCTAAACGTGGAAATAAAAACGTTTTAGGATTTATATACAATACAGACACTGCTGCGTGGTAAAGCTCTGAATTATATAACATGCTACAATCTTAATACAGTTAATACTAAGTTCATGAGGGTAAATGATTTATTCTTACCAGTTCTGATCTCCGCTTCTCATCACTGAGGACGCGAGACAGAGTTTCTCCCGAACTGACCAGGGTTCAGTCGGACCCAGAGACAGCATCTTGTGTTCTACAATAACAGTTGTGTTCGAAATAGAAGTTTTATTTGAAGC